ACCTGGGGCATGCTAGGTACCTTCCACAGCTGTTGTAGAAGGGAATAGAGTCTCCTAAGTGTTCCAATAAACTATCTGAATACAAAGTCAGTTGTCCTGTCCTGTTTTCATAGCCATGCCTGTGCCTGGCCTTGGGCCTTGCTCCAGAAAGTCAAAAGGATTTTCTTTGTAATGCAGGGTGTGAATTTTGAAAACCTCTAAAAGTGCCAAAATTAGCAACTCCTATTTGCTATTCTTCACGCTTGTCTTTAATTCAGTATTAGATTTTTCAAAGCTTACTAGTATTTTTCATCTTAAATCAGAGAAAGAAATATAATACTCGCCTCACTTAATTTTGTGTAAGCACCTTCTTTCCAATAAAGGCCTTTCTGCAAAGGCTGTCAGGTCACAGAGCTGTGTACTGCAGACTGTTCCCCCCATCACATGTACATTTAAGGTACCCAACCTGGGAATGAGGAAAATCTGGTCCTTGCAGAAAGTTTTACATGTACAGCACATAACATACACCAGGCGCAGAAACCGCGTCCAGCAAGTCTCTGCCTCTCTTGAGAAGCCCCTAGCGCTGGCTTTATCTCAGATGATTTCCTTCTCAATGGTCCCACAAATATAAGGTTCGGAGTGGGCTGTGAGACAGATCTCACATTACTGATGGCAGCCTGCTTTCAGGCACCATTTTTCTGAAGGGTCCTACAAACTCTTTCTTCCTCATATATAGTCAGAGATGCATGCATCATATAATGTGGTTGTATTTACTCACATTTTATATTGTCACACAATCCATTAACCGTGTCTTTAAAAAAGTCACATTTACTTAAGAGTTATTTATATAGGAAAAAATCTAGTAAACCATTAATAATTTCCAGTAATGGTCATAAAAATTACATCTTGTTTATTTTGCCTCAAAAGAGCAGTTCTTCAAATGTATTTGCTATTTCAAAGAATTAGTTTTGGAAGGCAATCCTAAACAACTTGCTGGTATTCAAGATGCTGACTTGTGAATTACAAGTTTGCATTTAGGCAGGAAAAAGACTAGTGAGGGGCAACACCTATGCTTCCAAAGGGATCAGTTCTTCAGGGATGTCCACCTGCCACACACCTTTTCTCCCTCTGGCAGGAATTGGTTCCAGGAGCCATCTTGGATTTGAAACAACAGTCAAGTATTTCTGTTCTAGATTACTGAGGATGGCTTTGTTTTCCAGCTCCAGGATCTTTTCAGGAGGCAAGTTTTCTGGATATAGTGATGTCTCTCCAATGTCAATTAATCCTGTATTATAAAATTAAAATACACAATTAATTGGCTGTTTGATCTCCTAGAGAAAAGTTTTCCAAAAGTAAACCTCCCAGAGGACATACAAAACAGCTGGTTTGTTACCAGAACACAGCATGAAGCACATACACCTCAAACCAGTGTCAGTTGCTGCAGAAAATGGCCCGTGTGACTGGACTTAGGTCGGTGAAGAAGAGGTAAAGCATGCAGTTGTAGTATTTACAACTCAGTGATATAGAATTCTGTTAAAAGAAGCCTGCATCTAAGGAGATACTGCTGCTACCAAAACTTGTGAGCTACATTTGGCCTTGAAACAGCTTCATTAAAAAAAAAAACCTCTCTCTGCTCCTATCAGGACACTATTAACATTTAAAATCGTTAAACGATATGGAAATTCCTGCTCTCTGGCACCCTTTTAATGTCATGAAAGGGAACTTCTGTATTGCTTAATGATTAAAAACGTTAAAGATGAAAGAAGCTTTGATACCTACTCCACAATTTAGCGTGCAATTTATGTCAAGGTTACAAATCTGCATGTTACGTAGTACCTAACAATTTTCAGCACTGTTTAACCAGAACAATTTTTCAGTGTATGTATATAAGTAATTTGTTGTGCAGGAATAGCTGAAAATATTCAAATGAGAATGCAAGATAGATGGTGTAAGAAAAGATACTCACAAGAAGAGAGTGCAAAATGAGTGCTGGATAAAAACTTTCTAAGTATACACTGCAGCAGCATACGTTGTATTTCAGCACAATATAAGCCAAGACACACCACTGCATCCTAACTTTGTGTTACAGAAACAAATTTCTTCACTGCCCAAACGACGAGAGCAATGGAGCATTTGCAGAACTGAAATGAGATTTATGTAATACGCTAACGTGACATGCAAAGCGCTGCAACATCATGACTTCACCTGGTGACGAATACTGTAAATGGTTTCAGCAAGAATTCCTAAGCTCAAAATGCAAAAAGCATGGAACAGACATTTATTATCATGCAACGAAACAATACGCAACCCACATTATACTATCTTACCGCATGACGAGTTAGCAAAAATCAATTTTATTTCTTGCACAGAGTGAGTGTATTTTAAAAACTGAGGCCTGACTAAAATTCTTTATCCTCAAGGTCAAAGATACTTCACATTTCCAACACAATCACAAAGAATAAAGTTTATTTACAACTTCCCTCACGGACCTCAGCTTACAGGGACAAGGAATTGGAATAGCCCCACAGCCGCAACTCAGGCACCGCTCCTTCGAAGTGTTACGGGAACGTTCTAATGAGCACAGCTGTGTAAAGCAGATGTGTATTGGACTGAAGCAAGTTAACGGACTGAAAACTTGCTTGGAAAATATAATCCCAGGTTGCTTACCTGCAATAACTCCTCTGCCAAATTTCTCCCCTTTATCCAGCAAATCTTGCACTTCTTGTGGCGTCATACCAAACCTATCCAAAAGAATTGCTCTCCACGTTTCATCTTGCCAGTCCTTAACAGCTATATGAATAGCGACGGTGCAGTTCGCGTAGTCCGCTAGCAAAGGACGCCAGCGAGTCTCTACTGTTTTGACTTTGTTTAAAACTAATCCCGCGTAAGGTTGTCGGAAGGAAAGGCAACCGAACCTCATCGTTTTCCTCGCATCCGAACGCGCTGATCTCCCACGAAGGCACAGACAGGCTGCGGCGAGGCCTCGCCCAGGTGCCTGCGCCCGCGGCACGCCAGCCCCCTGCCGAGCG